GTAAACCCCGGGAATCCTAACGGTTCCACATTTGCGACCAAATGATACAATGCCTATGAGATGGTGTACACCACTTATGGTGATAGTCATCGGCCCTCCTTTTAATATTTATTTATTTTCTTATATTCAACAATCAGTACGTATCTGTATCTCACCTGAATCTCCCTGACAGGCATCTGATCCACCAGTAGGACTGCCACAGATCATACATTCCTGTATACCAATTGGTATATTATGTTTGTCTCCAATGGCATACATTTGCGCACAGTCTTTGTTGGAAACTATTTCGACTTTTATTTGCTTCAAAGTTTCCGATAAGAAACCGCCATAATATGTGTCCCCAAATCCAATAACTGTTCCCAATTGGCCCACCAGTTGATCAGAACTGATATCAGATCCAGGAATACAAATAATGTCTACTGTTTTGTCAAGTTTTATGGCATTTTTAGTGACAATGAGTGCGATGTCATGATAAGACTCGGACTGGAAGTACAACTCATGTCTTACTATCCGAGAAACGGATATCTTTTGGCCTTCGCTTAAGCGATTGGAACCGATTCTTATGGAGTAAACACTAGAATCACTTGAATATAAATGAAACTTTTAAAAATTGTTTAAACAAATTAATTATTTTGAATTAATTTAAGTGTCAATATTTACAAAAGTGGTCGAAAGCAATGAGCGGCGGTCACCACAATGTGCTCCGTAATGATAGCACCGCCACAGATATGACTCTCAAACGCCTGGACGGATGTCATCCATGGGTAGTGACTCTCTGCTATCGACGGCTTCATATTGGGTGCCAACCAGTTGTGGAGGATTTGCAGAAAACTTCTTCTGGAGATTCGTGATCGCCGTCTATTCGCACAATTGGTTTGCATGTAATGACCAGACTTTTGCATCGGTTTGGCAACACTTTTATCATTTGTTCTAACCAGTTGTGGAGGATTTGCAGAAAACTTCTTCTGGAGATTCGTGATCGCCGTCTATTCGCACAATTGGTTTGCATGTAATGACCAGACTTTTGCATAGGTTTGGCAACACTTTTATCATTTGTTCTCTCATTAAGACAACAAATGATTGTCGGATCAGAAATTTGTTTCCATTTGCAGACCAACCAATCATTGGTCACACATTTGCGGCCATCAGTGCACTGGTCTTCACAATAGACATCCCTATTATTACCCCCGACTTGAATACAAAGCAATGATTTTAAAGAATTTAATAAAATGTATAAAACTATTGAGAATCTCATCATTTAATCAATTCATTTGTTGGACAAAAACTAAATTCAAACAAAAATGCTTTTAAAACATTACAAATAAGTCAATGAAAACATAATTCAATGAAAACATAATTCAACAAAAATCTATCAAAAATGAGTCGAAAATTCTTTAAAATAATAATACAATTAGTCATGAATGATCTCAAATTTCAAATAAAATTATTGTTTTATACAGAAAAGTATAAAAATATTTTGCGATTAACTATAACAATAAATTCAATCATTCGATGATTTATAAAACAATTCATTCAATATTTCAGTCACTAATAAAAAGTTAATCATTTATTATTAATACAATGCTAACAAATAAAATGATTATAAAAATATGTATAAATTATTGCATCAAACATATAATTCAACAAAATATATCCATTAATTGAGTGGAATTTCTAACATTAATACTCATAAAAACAAATTCATAAAACAAGTAAACATTTTGTAATTATTTGCACTTTCGGTTAACAGTGAGCCTAAAAACATTAAGTAAATAATTTCTTTTAGTTATATTGTAATAAAATAACACAATTATTGCAAATACTGTAAGTCATGATTAAGTTGTGATTAATAAATGCATAAAAAAGCTCAAAACAATAGATTTAAAAAAAAGTTAAAAAGTTTGCGATAAATTCTCATGAATCAAGAATTTTAAATATAAAAAACTAAAATAATAAAGTTATAAAATATATTCAATCTGAGGGTTGAGTGTTAGCAGCGCTGTCACCACTACTACTGACCCCTAATTCAGTAATCAATGGTAGCAATGGAGTCGACATATCCTTATCGACGGAAGTCTGTTCATCGAGTTTCACATTTTGTTCGCCATTTAATACTTCATCGGTTTTCTCGTCAAACACATCATTAGATTCAGTGGACAGACATATAGACGAGTCAAAGGCATCCATATTTGGTTCGGAGCCCATAGTGGGACAAATGGTCTCGCTTTGAGCGCCGCCAGTCTTGCGCACCATATCGTACCACAACTGCAACTCTAATGGTGTCTTAATATTGGATTTGGAAATACTGGTCGTATTCTTGTTATGGTGTGCC